TGCGCATCACAGACCAAGCAACAGGAATAAACTATTCTGGGCGACAGTTAGAAGCAATTGCATTAACCTTTTCACTGGCGGGCCGATGTTGCAAGAAAGAGGGGAGAGGGAACAGAGGGGAAGGAAGGGAAAAAGGAATTGGAAATGGAGAAGAGGAAGGGCTCGGAGGAGAGGGGGGAGGAGGGAGGTTGGAAAGGAGGAGGGGGGGAGGGGACAAGAGAGGAAGGAGGGAAGGAGAGAGGGAGGGAGAGAGAGGGGGAGAGGGATGGTTAGTGAGAGAAAGAGAGAGAGAAAGAGAGAGAGAAAGAGAGAGAGAGAGAGAGAGAGAGAGAGAGAGAGAGAGAGAGAGAGAGAGAGAGAGAGAGAGAGAGAGAGAGAGAGAGAGAGAGAGAGAGACAAAGAAAAAGAGAGAAAGAGAGACAAAGAAAAAGAGAAAGGGAGACCAAGAAAAAGAAAAAAAAACAAAGACAAAGAAAGACAAAAGACAGACAGACAGACAGAGACGCGAGAAAAGGAGGAAGAGGCAGAGGAGGTGACTACCAATATTACACCATTAACCTCCACGCCATTCCGAAGGCAAAAAATCAAATCCGGTTCCGAGGAAGGACAGTAACCCCTCCCCCCCTTCTCCCCTCTCCTCCCCTCCCCTCACCTTCCCTCGCCCCTAAATGCGCATTTTCCTCCCCCTCTCTCCCTCCTTCCCTCCCTCCCAGTAACATCTCTCCATCTCTCTCTCTCTCTTTATCTCTCTCTCTCTCTCTCTCTCTCTCTCTCTCTCTCTCTCTCTCTCTCTCTCTCTCTCTCTCTCTCTCTCTCTCTCTCTCTCTCTCTCTCTCCCTCTCTCTCTCTCTCTCTCTCTCTCTCTCTCTCCCTCCCTCCTTGTCCACCTTCCTTTTCTCCATCTCTCTCTCCCTCTCTCCCTTCATTTTCCCTCGCTCCCTCCTTCCCTTCTCCCTGTTGAACATAGATGTTCCTCCCCTCCCTCTCCCCTCACCCCTATCCCCCTCTCCCTCTCCCTCTCTTCTCCCAAGGCAAATCTAAACCTCCTCTCTCTCTCCTCTCCCTCCCTCCCTACCCCACCCCATCTCTTTCCCCACCCCTACTCTCCCCTACCTCCCTCCAACACCCCTTTAACTCCCTCCCTCTCCCCACTCTTCCCCTCTCCCCACCCCTTCCCTCTCCCCACCCCTTCCCTCTCCCCACCCCTTCCCTCTTCCCCAGCCATCCCTCTCTATCTCTTCCCTCTCCCCACCCCCCTACCCCCCCTATCCATCCAATACCCCTCTCCTCTCCTCCCTCCTCACCCCTCCCTCTTCCCCCCCCCTCCCCCACCTCCTCAATCTCAGGCAATGATTCGCCAATCTCCCGACGACGCGAGTCCTAAGGAGTCAGAATTGAGTGTCATTAAGGTCGAATCTCGTTCACGCCGCCGCCGCCGCAACGCCCTTCTACGCTCACAGTGGAAGTGTGTGTGTGTGTGTGTGCGTGTGTGTGTGCGTGTGTGTGTGTGTGTGTGTGTGTGTGTGTGTGTGTGTGTGTGTGTGTGTGTGTGTGTGTGTGTGTGTGTGAGTGAGTGAGTGAGTGAGTGAGTGAGTGAGTGAGTGAGTGAGTGAGTCTGTGTGAGAGTGAGTGAGTGAGTGAGTGAGTGAGTGAGTGAGTGAGTCTGTGTGAGAGTGAGTGAGTGAGTGAGTGAGTGAATGAGTGTGTGAGTGAGTGAGTGAGTGAGTGAGTGAGTGAGTAAGTGAGTAAGTGAGTGAGAGTGAGTGAGTGAGTGTCCTTCCCTCCCCTCTTTCAGATAACGTGATGTAACGTAATGTAAAGTCACATGTACCGTCGCGGAGTTATATAACCTCGTTTCATATTACAATTACAAAGTCATGCATATCGTCATAAAAATTCATGTCATAAAAAAAAAAAATTACATCAGTGAGGCTGCATGTTTCGTTTGTTCGTTTCATTGTTTCATATCGCGCGCGTGTGTGTGGTGAGTAAGTAAGTGAGTGAGTGTGAGTGTGAGTGTGAGTGTGAATGAGTGTGTGTGTGTGTGTGTGTGCGTGTGTGTGTGTGTGTGTGTGTGTGTGTGTGTGTGTGTGTGTGTGTGTGTGTGTGTGTGTGTGTGTGTGTGTGCGTGCGTGTGCGTGTGCGTGTGCGTGTGCGTGTGCGTGTGTGTGTGCATGCGTGTGTGTGTGTGTGTGCATGCGTGTGTGTGTGTGTATGTATGCGTGTATGTATGCGTGTGGGGGGGTGCGTGCGTGCGTGTGTATGTATCTCAGTGTCCAAGTGTGTCTGTGGTAGAAACTGTTCCTGTTAAATTTCGTGCCTCAATATTTTCATATCATATGTTTTGCAATATCGCATCCGTGTTTTTTTGTTGTTGTTGTTGTTTGTTGCTTTTTTATCTCTTTGTTTTTTACACGTTTACCTTAACATTTTTTATGTCGCTTCACCTCTATTTTCTGATGTTGCTTAATTTTTTTTTTACCTATTTCTGATTACTTTTTCTTGTGCCCCCTCCCCCCCACTCAAAAAAAAAAAGAAAAGAAATGCTTGATCATTATTATAAGTGATACTCTCGTCATTTTTTCCTCTAATTTTCTTTTCATTTATCACAATTTCCTTTCTAATTCCCCTGTTTCGCTCACACTTAGTTTCGTCTCCTTTTACTTCACATTTCCTACTCTTTTATCAACTTCCTCTTCTTCCATAATTATTCCCCTTCTCTCCTACTACACGTTTTATTTTCTTTCTATTCTTATCTTCGTTTCTCTTTATTATCTATCTTTCTTCTCCCTCCTTCCCTCTTCTCTTTCTTATACCTTTCTTATTCTTCCTTTCGGTTCCCGTGAACATCCTCCATTTCTTCCTTTTTCCTTCCTCTTCGTTTTCTTTTCTGTTCTCTTTCTCCTTTTTTTATTCATCTTTCTTCCCAATTCCTTCTCTATCTTTTTTTTCATTCATCTTTTTTTATTCTTCTCCCTCTGTCCCTCCCTTTTCCACTTCCCTCCCTCCTTCTCACCTCCCTCCTTCTCGCCTCCCTCCCTCCCTTTCCCACTTCCCTCCCTCCTTCCCTTTCCCTCCCTCCCTCCTTCTCCCTTCCCTCCCTCCTTCTCACCTCCCTCCTTCCTTTCCCCCCCTCCCTCCTTCCCTCCTTCCCTCCCTCCTTCCTTTTCCCCCCTCCCACCTTCCCTCCCTCCCTTTCCCACCTCCCTCCCTCCCTCCCTCCCTTTCCCACCTCCCTCCCTCCCTTTCTCACCCTCCCCCCCTTCCGCTGCCA